TGTAATAAATTAATTATTAGCTTAATTAATTAGCTAGTGAGGTTAGTTGTTCATTTATTTAAACTATTAACGTAATTTAGTGAGGTCATGTTAATTTTCATATTATTAACAATATATTATTAAACTATTAACGTAATTTAATTAGTTAAATTTAAATATAAATATTAATTAGTTAATTGAAATGAGTTTATATCACCAATGATTAGGCCGGTTTGTTTATTAGCAATTATTGTTATTAATGCATAATTTAGGATGTGTAGTGATTTAAGTATCAGCTAGCTTATTATAGATTAATCAGTTTGATAAAAAATATCCGTGATTTATAGAAATCAGTTTAATTTTTTAATTCAGTGATCAAAAATCAGTTTGATAAAAAATATCCGTGATTTACAGAAATCAGTTTAATTTTTTATCCATGATAAAAAATCAGTTTGATTTTTTAATTCAAAAATCAGTTTTAATTCAGAAATCAGTTTTCTGATTTACAAAATCAGAAAACTGTTTTTTATAAATTAATACAAAATACAAGGTGTAATAAACTGTATTTTTCTAAATTAATGCAAAAAACTGATTTCCGATGATTTATAATTTAATATGGAAAAACTGATTTTATTAGTTTAATATAAAAAGTTTGATTAATTGATTTTATAAGGTTTGATAAAAAATATACACAACACAAGTTACCTCCATAACATAAAAATCATACAAAAAACTGATTCGACCCCTCATATTAAACTCAAGTTTAATATGTTCTATATTTCAAAGTTTTATACCACACAAAACACCATAAAATAATTTTATAAGGTTTGATAAAATAATACCTAACACAATTAAATTCAATAACATAAAAATCATACAAAAAAATCATCCTACCCCTCATATTAAACTCAAGTTTAATATGTTCTATATTTCAAAGTTTGATAAATACCTAACACAATTAAATTCAATAACATAAAAATCATACAAAAAACTCATTCTACCCCTCATATTAAACTCAAGTTTAATATGTTCTATATTTCAAAGTTTGATAAATAAATAGGAAACTGATTAAGTTTAAACCATTATACCACACAAAAACTCCATAAACTGTTTTTATAAATTAATACAAAATACAAGGTGTAATAAACTGTATTTTTCTAAATTAATGCAAAAAACTGATTCCCTATGATTTATAATTTAATATGGAAAAACAGATTTTATTAGTTTAATATAAAAAGTTTGATTAATTGATTTTATAAGGTTTGATAAAAAATATACACAACACAAGTTACCTCCATAACATAAAAATCATACAAAAAACTGATTCGACCCCTCATATTAAACTGAAGTTTAATATGTTCTATATTTCAAAGTTTTATACCACACAAAAACACCATAAAATAATTTTATAAGGTTTGATAAAATAATACCTAACACAATTAAATTCAATAACATAAAAATCATACAAAAAACTCATTCTACCCCTCATATTAAACTCAAGTTTAATATGTTCTATATTTCAAAGTTTGATAAATAAATAGGAAACTGATTAAGTTTAAACCATTATACCACACAAAAACTCCATAAACTGATTTTATAAGGTTTGATAATATAATACCTAACACAATTAAATTCCATAACATAAAAATCAAACTAAAAACTCATTCGACCTCTCATATTAAACACAAGTTTAATATGTTCTATATATTAATTCTCAATAATTTTAGATGAGTGAGCACGAACGCCGCCTTTCCACCATTGCTCGTCGTGGGCGCCAGAATTCACGACGGGCCTCAAACGCTGATCGTGATATCAATGATGATATCAATGCCGACGAAGGACATGCTCATGACGGACATGTCCAAACTCCTCCCTCTGAACAATCAGACTCTCATATCAGCGTGCATGGGGAGGGGGCATCATCTCATGCACCTTCATCTCGTGCAATATATGTCCCCCCCCCACTCAAGAAGAGCGCCACAATCAATCAATCCATCCATAGGTAATAAAAAACTAACACCGTCTAATATAAAATAGTATAATCTCTACATCTAAGAATTAATACAATTGTTTTTATCAATTATCAATTTTTTTGAAGCGATCCCGAGGTCTTGAATAGAATCAAGGCTATTGTTTGTGGTCATTTCACGGGGCCTTGGTCGACTTATGGTGAGGTTCCGGCGGCCACTCGTGAACTATGGTGGCGGTTGTTCAAGGTAAAAATAAATTTTTTTGTTACATTTTAATTACTTAAATTTAAGAAATGATATATCAATGTTTTTAATGAAGGCTTCCCATCGGTGGCATTTTGCCCTAGACCAAGCTATTCTCAAAGAATACAATTCTAGGATTTCTGGGTGGTTGAGACCCACTTTTAGGACCGCCCGGTCTACCGGTCGAAAGCCAAGATTCCTTGGCGATGATGTGTGGGAGATGCTTTGCCGCCATTGGGCTACGGATCCCGCATTTTTTATGAGAAGCGAAACAGCCAAGGCAAACTGGAACTCGGAAAAAGCCAAGGAAGTTCAATGGCACGGGGGCCGCAAACCCCAAATTCAACATAAAAAAGATCTGGTAAACTCTAATTAGTTAAAATTATTTCCATTACATACCCTTATGTATATATTTTTTTATTAACTTTGAAATCCGTGTAGGAAGGATCTGGACCCGTGAAAAAACGGGTCACGCCATTGAAACTCATGGCACATTGTTGGACGAAGAAGGCTGCCATGCCGCCTCCCCGCCTTTCTGAATTTGAAGTAAATAATGAAACTTCAATAATTCAATAAATTTTGAATTTTTTTGATCTCTTATATAATAAATTTTTGAACTTGTAGAAAAAATATGAGGAAGAGCGAGGGAAGAGAGTTGATGAGCTAGGTGATTCTGATGCCGAACTTGATGAAAATCAAGAATATGAGGCCATCTTGGCGGCAACCGGAGTTTACAAGGGCCGGGTGCCGCTTATGGGTTCTGAAGGCTTACGGATCCTGGAGAAGTCCAAAGGAGCTAGATCATCTTCTCATTCGGCGTATGATGATCGGGTTACCCGCCTCGAGAAACTATTGGAGGAACGTGAAGCAGAGGCTCGAAGGCGGGATGAAGAAGCTCGGATACGGGATGAAGAGCAAAGAAGAACGAGAGAAAGGTTGGAAGAGATGGAACGAAAAATGCGTATTTTCAACGCCACCTACCGCCCATCCATGCACATACAGCACCCCGAGATGACTCCACAAATTCCCTTCGCGGGCAATATGGGCAATATGGGCAGTATGGGCAGTAGGGGTTTTGCTAATTATAGCCATATCTCCAACAATTTTCCATATGGATACTATGATGATACCCCTTTAGCGACTCCCGAAGCTCAAGCATACCGTGGCAGCAGCCGGGCTGGCAGCCGTGGTGGCAGTCGAGGCAGCCATCGTGGCGGCAGCCGTGGCCACAGAAGGCAACCTGATCATCGTGAGGAACCTGATGATGATGATGATTATGATGACCATTGATGGTTTGTAATAACTAGTTTCTTGACATTTTAAGGATTTTTAAATTTTGATGGTTACTGTATGAATATTAATTATTTGTGTTATATAATGATGGTTTGATTGGTTTATTATTTATTATGATAAATAATGTTTCATGGTGATTAATGATGATTAATGATGATTGTTTAATTATTTATTATAAACATTTATTTATTAAGATTAATGATGATTGTTTAACTATTTATTAAAAACAATGTTTATTAAGTTTAAATTTTTTAAAAAGTGCCTAAATTTTAATGGTTATTATTTATTAAATAAACTTTTGAAATAAACATTCAAAAAATTAATGCGCTGAATTTTTAATTTTTTTTTTAAAAAAATTAAAACTTTTGTCACGGACTGTTTCGTGACAAAATATAAATTCAATTTATTTTAAATACCCAAAACGCTGAAAATAACGTATTTTTTTTTAAAAAAATGTTTTGTCATGGATGAGATCCGTGACAAGTTCAAAATTTTGAATTTTTTTTGAAAATTTTAAAGTACCCGCCCACCTGTTTCAAAATTTTTTCTAAATTTTTTGTCACGGATATTTCCGTGACAAATAATTATTTTTTTTTGAAAAATAAAAAAATTTATTCACGGATGCGGCCGTGACAAATAAAAGGCGATGGAGTTCCGGTGAAGTGTTTTGTCACGGACGGTGGCCGTGACAAATCCGTGACAAACGGTCTCACGGATTAATTTCTGTGACAAAAACGTTATCACGCCTCCGGTGTCACGGATTTTTTCCGTGACAAAGGGTGAGTTTTTTTGTAGTGGTAGTGATAGTGATAGTGATAGTGATAGTGATAGTGATAGTGATAGTGATAGTGATAGTAATAGTAATAGTAGTAGTAGTAATAGTAATAGTAGTAGTAGTAATAGTAGTAGTATTAGTAATAGTAGTACGTAGTAATAGTAATAGTAATAGTAATAGTAATAGTAATAGTAATAGTAATAGTAGTAGTAATAGTAGTAGTATTAGTAATAGTAGTAGTAATAGTAATAGTAGTAATAATAGTAGTAGTAGTAGTAGTAGTAATAATAATAATAATAATAATAATAATAATAACAATAATAACAATAATAACAATAATAATAATAACAATAATAATAATAATAATAATAATAATAATAATAATAATCATAATCATAATCATAATCATAATCATAATAATCATAATCATAATCATAATAATCATAATAATCATAATAATCATAATAATCATAATAATCATAATAATCATAATAATGATACTAATAATAGTAATAATAGTAATAATAGTAATAATAGTAATAATAGTAATAATAGTAATAATGATAATAATAATAATGATGATAATAATAATGATAATAATAATAATGATAATCATAATAATGATAATCATAATAATGATAATCATATTAATGATAATCATAATAATGATAATCATAATAATGATAATCATAATAATGATAATCATAATAATGATAATCATAATAATGATAATCATAATAATGATAATCATAATAATGATAATCATAATAATGATAATCATAATAATACTAATAATAATAATAATAATGGAGTATATGGCCCGGAAACCCCCGGCCCATAGACTCCTACTACTCCAACGAGGGCCCAGAAGGCCCAACAGGCCCAGAAGGCCCAACAGGCCCAAATCACAGCGTCCAGAGTACCAAGCAGCCCGCAAGGCGCACCAGGGGTGCCTTCGGCCCCCTGGCCGAAGGCTCTAAACTCTCACAGAACGGGTTTCTCAAGCAAATTAAGAAACTGGGAGAAAACGGCGAAAACAGTAGCCCTCGGCACTATGAGCCCTCGGCACCAGGGTGCCATCGGTTTGAGGAGCCCTCGGCTACTGCTCTATAGCCGAAGGCATCTCACTCGACAAGATATCCGCCTCACATGCGTACAGATCACCGTACCCCGCACAGACGTCCCATCCAACAGCCGCATTAAATGCGGCCACATGCGGCTGCCAGCGCCAACCAGTTGAGGTGACCCCTCGGCCAATGGGCGCTTGACACGTGTCCCTGTCTGGCATTTATTGCTACTATAAATAGCCCCCCATTTTCCCCATTTGTAACCACGACATTCACACTGAATACACTCTCTCTCTTATTTACTCGTGCTCTGACTTCTCTCTAAGTTATTCTCAGCAATAACCCTTCGGATATATACCCTCGGGTAGACTATCCATCATTTGGTGCTCCCGTTGAGAGGTTGAACAATCAAGTAAGAACCCCCCCCCCTCGCCAAACACTAGCCCTCTACCAAAAATGGTGAGAACAACACGTGCCAACTCCAAAAACGTAGAGGACAAGAACCTGGCCCTCGGCGACGTCAACGCCCCCGAAGCCTCTCACAGGGCTCCCGAGGGCGGTGTCATCGTTGGGCTGGAACAGGCGGCTGTCGACCTACGCCTTCAGATCCAACAAAATGCCCCCGATGCCCGCCTCGGCATCGAGGCCAAGAAGAAAAACCGGAGCGATGACCAAGTCAGCCCTCCGGTTCTCACCATCGACGTGCAATCGGCGCTCTCCGCCTTCATCCAAACGCTCACTCAGAACCCGGGTGCCTTCGGCACCCTGGCTCCGGCTCACCCCCAGGTTGGGGAAAACATCATACCTCCCCCTCCGCCACACCCCTTCGGAAATCCCACCCCTCGGGTGAGGAACGACGAAGGGGTAGTGGCCCAGGACACATCCTCCCAGGAAGTACAGTCCCGGGACCGCCACAATGACAACAGGGAGAGGCCCCGCACTTCCGCCCTCAACCGGCTCGGAGGAGGGCCAGATCGCCGAGGGGTCCAAGACCGCCTCGGAGGAAAGGCACTCCAAAGGCCTCAGGAAAGTGGAGGGTCTGTCTCGAGGGCAGACGAGGAGCGTCCCCCTCGGGACAAAGGCAAGGCACCCCTTCATGCCGATGACGCTCGCCACCAGATCAACCAGGACCACTCGGCCCGGGTTCGTTCGCAGGGGGCGGAGACCCTCCCGAAGGATCCCCGGGACGAGATTATTGCGGCCCTCCAACGCCGGCTTGACGAAATGGAGTCCAACAAAGCTCACGCCACCACCTCCACCCCTCATTCAGATCTCAAATACGAGGCCATGATGGCCAAAATGGAGGAGTTACAGAAGAAGGTGGCCGAGGGCTCCGGAGAACCCGTCATCCAGCTCCGGACTCGGACGCCATTTACCCCAAGGGTGTTGGCGGCCCGGATCCCGGAAAAATACCAAGGGCAACACATAGAGCCCTACATCGGAAAAACGGACCCCCAGGAACACTACAGCAAATACCAGAACAGCATGATGATGGTAGGGGCGTCGGACGAATATTTGTGTCGTTGGTTCCTCTCCACCTTAGAGGGACCGGCATACGAATGGTTCAACAGGCTGCCCGAGGGCTGCATTGATTCGTGGCAAGAACTCGCCCAGCGATTCTTGACACAATTTGCCGGGAGGCGTCGCACGAGGAAGCACTTCTCCCACCTCCTAACCATACGCCAAAAGAAGGATGAGACCCTTCGGGACTTCCTGGAGCGCTGGAGGACGGAGGCCGACAAGGTCGACGGTGCTGATGACAGGACCCTCCTGGCCCTCCTACAAACCGTCCTCCGCACCGACAACTTTTCAAGGAGCCTCATCATTGAACCCCCCCGCGACTACATAAGGGCTTTGCAGCGGGGGAACCGATATGCTGAGGCCGAGGAGGTGGAGAAGTATCACCAGCATCCGGACCAGCAGCCCCCGAGGGCTGACAACAAGCATAACCGAGGGCCGGGGGCTCCTCCAAATCACCCCAAGGCTTCGGGACCCTCTGATGACCGCCCTCGGCAAGGCCAAGCCAAGCCCTGGGGAGGTTATAAGAGCAACCCTAAGACTTGGGCACAGCCCATTCTCATGGACCGCCTGTAAGGAATAATTGTAATTAGATTTTGATGATGCTAGATTAATTAGGACTTTAGAAGTACCCCTTTAGAAATTATGTATTAGA